ATGGAAATCAAGCAAGTGGGAGGGGAAAGGAGAGGCTGGGTAAATTCACACCTAACGGATACAATGCACCCTCTTTGGGTGATGGGCACACTTACAACTTTGACTCAAATTACACAAAAGCAAATTATGTAACCAAAACATTTTTACCCCTAACATATTCTGAAATAAAACCAAATTCTAATCATTGAACTTCTCCTTTTTTAAGAGTTAGTTTCTTGACCAATTGTTCTTAAAACTATTACCATCTTAGTTAATAAAATAGAGAATTTTGAAAAATGTTTGCTGGCTCCTGCTACTCATCTACCAATAGCCCATCAAATTGATAATTGAGTTCCTGGTGTGTTAAGAACTTTCTTAGGAGCTCTCTAGAAGTATCAGACATGGACTCATAGACCTATTATCCCATGTCTCTCATTATTTCCCTGCTGTTCTTGATTTCCATTTCTGTCTTCTAGAGTTTAAACATAAGTTTATATTTATAAATCATCTGTTTTGGTTGCTGGATAAAAGTGGAGTGGCCATTAAAGAAGGACCCCAAATATGTGAGCATCAGGGAAAAGTTCTGATCTCAGGCCCTTGAGAATGGAAAAGGTGATTTTTGATTTAGCTCCTGAAGGACTTTTGCTAACCTCAGCTACTCCTTTAAAAGTAGACCTGTCTTGCTTAGGTCAAATGAACCGATAACTGGGCTTTAAGTATTAAGGTGAGCTTACAAGCTGAGAATTCCATAGTGGTTATTCCAAGCCTCATAAAAGGGGATTCTGCTGCATCTAAAACTATTAATCTTCTCATTGCTACCAAAGTCTTCCACTTTATCTTGAGTCTATCAACTTTGTCCTTGGATTAAAAATCAACTCCATGTTACATAATAAATACTGTAAAAAGCGCTATTCCCTTCCCATTGCCAAGTAAAGAGAATAAACCTCATCTTCCCCCACGAATGCTAATGTACTTGAGAAATTGCAAAATTTATCACCTAAGAAAACATTGTTTTCCTCTAGTGGGAGGGAGATGGTCAGGGGATGGAGAAGAGAGAAGGGGAATTGGTCTTTCGGAGCTCATTTCTTTGCCTCCTCTTACACCCTTACATCCTAACAGTATACACATTAGAAGCTGTATGAGATTTTGTTTGTTTTCAAGAGATGTTTGAGAGAAGATCAAATGCTTGTGAAAAGCACTGCATCGGCGGCCCTAGAAACTGAAGTGTGAGCTGTGTGAGCCTGGAAATATCCCACATTTCTATTTATTTTGGCAATTTTATTTGAAAATAGCAAGAACTGGAGTTCATGCTACAATTAAATTTTCCCCAGGCACCATGAAATGAAAACACATATTATATTTGATTTTAACTAGTTGAGAAAAATGGTGGTTTTCTGAAAGTTCATTGTGTGACCCTGAAATAAAAGTTAACCGTTCTTCACATGGGAGAACTGAGCTACCATTTAAGTGGGAATTATTTATAGAACTAGGAGTTTTCTGGGTTGGAAGAGGTCTTAGGTCTTTGAGTTCTCTTCTTTTCCTATCACGTGCTTGAAACTCTACTACCACATTACAGAAAAGTGTTGGCCAGCTTGAGCTTGAAGTTTTTGGTGATACGAGACAGACTTTCACTTCAGGATACCAACTTATTTTTTCATATGGCTCTAATTTTCAGAAGTAGTGAAATAATATTAACTAAAACTTTAGTAGTGCTTACCATGTGTCAGGTACCATTTTAAGCACTATAATATGTATATTTGTGTATATATCAATAAACCCTCACAATAATTCTGTGAGCTAGATTCAAGTGTTACCTCCATTTGACAGATAAGGAAACTGAGTCACAGGTAAGTGACTTGATTTGCCTAAGGCCACACAGATAGTAAGTGAGAGAATCAGACTTTGAACCCAGGCAACTTGACTCTACATTCTGTACTCCTGATGACTATATTTTAACCTCTCCAATGCTTATAACTCTCCTTCGTGCCTAGTATGGAAGTTTGCACATTGTAGATGCTCAATAAAAAATATTTTTCACCATTTTTATTTCAGGATCATGATTCTATACAAATTCTAATTGGTTTTACACATAATCATCAATTTTCCCTAATAAACAGTTGAAGTTGAAACATTAGAATTTTAAATGATGATTAATAGTCTGCCTACTTTAAGAAAACATTAAGGGAAGTAACAGGTATACAATATTGACTATAAAGTACTTAGTTGCTGCCTATAGCAGTAGGTCCTTGAATAATTTCAATTTAGGCTACAGAAGGAAATTCCAAACGTGCAAGACCTGTGCAAGCATAGTTCTTTTGCTTTTCCTTTTTCATTCTGTACTTGCCACACTAACCTATGTAGGGTAACGGGAATCATTTCATCACGTAAGTACAACTTATTTTTATGGTCTGTATTTCTACCACTATTCATCAGCCTATGCACTCATTTGTCCATCGATCCATCGATCCATCCATCCAGCAAGCATTATATGCCATGTATCACTAGGTGCTTGAATATTGATACAAGAAAGGAAGAGATAGAAAGACAATAATAGACTTTTCCTGTTTTCTTGACTCATATTATTTGGTAATCACATGTAGGCATTTAAGATAATTTCTTTGGAGTTGATAAAACTCTTCCCAAAAAGAAGTATGTTTTAATGCATTGTCTGAGAGTTAAGTACTCTTTAACTAGAAATGTTGGTTTCTTCATTTTCCTTCCTCCCTCCTTCCCTCCTTCTCTCTTCCCTTCCTTCTCTCTTCCCCTCCTTCTCTCTTCCCCTCCTTTTCCCTTTTTCTTCCTTTCCTTTCCTTTCCTTTCCTTTCCTTTCCTTTCCTTTCCTTTCCTTTCCTTTCTCTCTTTTTTTGTCTTTAGTTCTTTTTTAGAGACAGGGTCTCACTCTGTTGCCTAGGCTGGAGTGCAGTGGCATGGTCATAGCTCACTGCAACCTTGAACTACTGGGCTCAAGTGATCCTCCTGCCTCAGCCTCCCAAGTAGCTAGGACTACAGGCATGTGACCGGCTGATTTTTCTTTTTTTGTGGAGACAGGGTCTCACTATGTTGACCAGGCTGGTCTCAAACTTCTGGCCCTCAAGGAATCCTCCTGCTTCAGCCTCCCAAAGTGCTTAGTTCCTCTTGAAAGAAGTTTATGATTGGGTATAATTATAGTTTACCCAAACCTTTCCATAGGATATGAATTCTTAATTATTATTCTGAACTGTGGTCCCATGAAGAGTCCTCTGTGTTTGCAGGATTCTCTAAGGTGATGGTTGCAGTAGATACTCATCTGTGCCTGAGAGCATGGACTTCTTAGCAGGAGAACTTAGCATTGCCTGAATAAGGTGCTGGCCAGATGGGTACAGGCACCAGCCTGGCTTTTGTCTGCTCTGGTAAGCCAAGATCTACCTTGCAATCACAGCAACAGTGGCTTAGTTTGCATCTGAGGCTTTGGCATGCTTCTGACTGGACCTTTTCCCCCTGGACTGAGCCTTGGGCATCTCCATCCCATTCAAGTGATCCTCGGTTTTCAGTAAACATGGAGGAAGGGTGATCCTGGAGTAGAAAGCACAGCAGGGGCACATAGGACCAGAAGAAAAAGGAGGTTCCTTTATACCGTGGCATCTTCAAAGCAAGCTACTTGGATGAAATACTTCCCCTCTTAATTTAATCATCTTCTTACTCCCAAGCGTCATCATTTGCTTGGCTGAGCACTCCTCTCTTGCACCCTCTCTCAGCTCTTATAATTCACAATTTGGAGAATCCTAAGACTTTTTGCTGTATTATCTATGAACACCCTAATTCTACTGATAAAACCAAGAGAACAGAAGGAGATGATCTCTAAGACCTGAATTCTGTGATTCTACTTAGCTTTTCTTCACCCTCGGGGAAATCCAGCACTCTTGCTCCCATTCACTCCCTCCAGGTGGAAAAAAATTAGTGAGAGACTTCACGTGACCATTTCTGCCCCCTCTTGTCCTTTTGGAATTCTTTCTTAGTTGACTCACATTGATTGTGTGCTGTTTTCTGCTGGCCAGAAGGAAAGCAGCTTAGAACCCAATCCATGTCTTTATCCATTTCTGGATCTCTTGTCTTTAAAATGAAGGGATTGAACCAAATGATTTCTGAGGCCTTTTTCAGTTCTAACATAACGTGGTCCTAGGGTTTTCATGGAGCAGAAATTCATAGGATTTTAGATTTAAAAAATCTAGATTTATGTGTGAGGGGTGGGCTAGGGAAGACTTTTCTAGGAGATCTAATCAAAAGTCAATAGTCAGACATCAGAGGTCTTTTGTTAAGGGCTGAATTTTATCTCCCTTCCCCCAAATTCAAATGTTGAAGTTTTAACCTCCGGTACCTCAAAGTATGACTGTGTTTGGAGACGGGGTCTTTACAGAGGTAATTAAGTTAGAATGAGGTGAATAGGGTGGGCCCTAATCCAATCTGACTGGTGTCCTTATATAATACAAAGAGGATATTTGGACACAGTTATGTATGGAGGGAAAACATCTAAAGACGCAGGGAGAAGAGGAAGGAGCCCATTTATAAGCCAAGGAGAGAGGCCTGGGATAGGCCTCCCTCATTAAGGCCCTCAGAATGGCTGGTACCTTGACTTTGGGCATTCAACCTCCAGAAGGGTGAGAAAATTTTTGTGGTTTACACCTTCCAGTCTGTGGCACTTTGTTATGGCAGCCTAAGCAAACTAATACCTCTTTTATATCTGATTCCAAATGCAAAAAAAAAAAAAAAAAAAAAGTGCAGCAATCTCCTCTTAAAGTTACGTCATAGGCCTCACAGGCCTTTTAGGCAAATACCTGATGCCCTTTGGCATGAACCCTGGACTTGACTAAGAAATGCAGGCTCCAGTGATAGCAGGAAATGGAATCTGGGAACTTGTATGACACAATTCAGTCTTGCTGAGAATTTTGGGCTAATATTTAACTCTGAATATATATTGACATAGGCAATTCTCCTATAACAGATTAATACAAAATTTAAAAATGCATATAAAAGTCTTGATTTTTATCTAAATTACTCTTTTTTAATTGGTTTTTGGGGGGTGGGGAATGGTATGTCCTATTTACTGTTTCTTTAATTTTTTTTTTTTTTCCCATTCTTGCCACTGTCTTTCTTTGGGCTTTCTTGGGCATTACATTTTTCTTTTCCATTTTCTCCACATTTCTTAGCCACATTCCTATAACAGGTTACTTCTATTTCCATCACATCTTCATCTAGCTCCAGCAGACCTCTCACATTTCCTGCTTTTCTTTCGTGCTCTCTGTTCCTCTCTCATCATCTTTGCCTCTGTCTGCTTAGTTCTCCTCTCCTCCATTTTTCTTTTTTGCATCTGTGTTCAGCATTTCTAGTTCCAGTCCCTTTCCTCTGCTCTTTCTTCTTTGCTCTGATCTGCTGACTTGCTTCTGTCCCCTCCTTCTGTTCCCCTCCTGGGCATTTCTTTGGCCCACCTTTCCTTCTCCTCTTAGACTTCACGTTCTTGTTGGTAGGTGGGGGCTGGTACTGTAAACATCACAAAAATAATCACATTGAGAACAGGCAGCTCCTGTGGTGTCCCTGAAGACAGAGCCTTTGGGTTAGCCCAGAATGCCTGGGCTCCATATGATGCAGGAGACAGCATTGGTGCTGGAGAGGGCTCTATAATTCAGTCACAAGAGCCATCATTGTAGAACCCTGGTGCTCCTGACACCTGCCCCCTCCCCAGCAAAAAACTGAGAGGCACTGGGTCTCCTGAAAAAATAAAGAATGAACCTGCCTTCACCCCGTCAAGCATATGTTCCTGCCAAGTTTCCTCTGTGGTCTTTGCTCCCTGACTCACCATTGGCTACTGTGTTCTGTGTGCACTGGGTCCTGCCCAGTACCTTTCCTACCCTAGGGGTGGTACCCTGGGTCACATCTCTGCTAAGCCTTCACAGTCCTCCAGCCTCAGGTGCAGTTCAGGACCAGGAAGCAGCAAAGGTGTCATTCTGAACTTCTTGGTCTCTCATCTAGTACCTTCTGCACAATGTTAGCTCCAAAGATTAAAACCATACGTTGGCATTTATTTTTCAACAGAGTCCCCAAGAAGACCTAAATGAGAGCTTTTTCTTTCCTTACTCATCTTTCTCACTTTCTTTTTCCTCCTTCACTATTTCCTTAGTTCTCTTTCTTTCTACTTAATGACTAAAATTTTAGTTAATCCCTTATATTCATTTGTTCATTCATTCACTCATTCAACAAAAATCTATGAAGTGACTAAATGTGCACCAGATGTTTTATATACTTCCGATGGCACAGATGGTACCTCTAAGGTTTGTTTATGGTCTAACTCTTAGAAAAAGATGCCTGCAAATTTTGATCACTAGAAATTTCTAGATGTTCTTGCAGCCAAACAGAAATTTCTATTTTTCATTTTTTTCTTTAATTATGCTTGCGCTGAATGTGAATTTTGAATAGTTTCCATTACAGTCCTTTTTTTCTTTGCACGATTTCGAATCCCAGAACTTGAAAGGTTACATGCTCTGTTATTAATTACAATTTTGACAGACATTACCATTGGTCCAACAGTTACTTTGTGCAGGCATGTGAAAAGCATCTTAAAGTATGTGCATTAGTGTTCTTAATTTTGGCAACAACCTGATGTGGTAGATATTACCATCATTCCAATTTTACTGATGAAACTGAGGCTTGGGTAGGTTATACTATTTGGCCAAGGGCTTTCAGCTGGTGAGTGGGGAAGCTAGGACCTCAGTTTTGTCTGATACCAAAGCCCATGTTTATTTAGTCACTGTTTTCCACAGTCTTGCAATCCTCAGATAATCCAGAGCAGTGGAAGGAGAAATTTGCAATGCAGAGTGACCAAAGAGATGGGCATCGAATCCATCCCTTTGGTGGGAATGGAGCTTTTCTGCCCTGTAAGCCAGGAGGCTATGGGGTAGAATTTCTGTTTGGCCCAACCACATGTAAAAGACAGAGGTCATTTGAGGATGGCCAGATCCCACCTGGGTGAGCCTACCTTCTGAGTCTTGGGCATGTCGGTGTGGCGCTGGGCACGGACAGAACGGGCTGACTTGGCAGGCTTGAGGGGAGCACAGTACATCTCCAGCCTCCTCAGATCACAGCTCCGGAAGCAGCACTCGTCCACGATGCCTGTCTGAGGCGCCCTCCGACTGCTGGAGCCGTACCCTGTGGGCTTGTCTGTACAAAGCAAGCAGAGTGGCCTCATGTTACAGGAAGAATCTGCTATCTTCACAGTCTTCCACCCAGCTCCCGATGCCTTTCCTCCCTCCACATCTAGTCAACCTACACATTCTCCAATGTCTCAACCTCTGCTTTGAAGCTTCCCCAGTAATTACTGATCCCATGGATCCTTCTGGATTCCAGAATGTCTCCTGGAGTCTGTGTCATGCTCGTTAGCACTAACTCACTCACCACACTATTTGTGTTAATTCTCCCTAAGTTTTCAGCAACCTTTTGTCAAGGATCTTGTCTATGCCCAATTCTAGTCTTTCATCATATATTGGCCTACTTAGGAGGATGCTAGTAATATTAATTAAAAGAAGATCATGTACTGTTTCCTTAATCTCTTTAGCAAAGCTGCGTAGTTTTTATATGCAGGACAGTTCATATGTTTGCTTTTTTGCTTGACTGAAAAGTCAGGTTGAACAGCAAAGAGGTTTAAATCTGGAAAGGGCTCCTCATTGTACCGATGTGAAAACTAAGACCTGGGGTTGGGAATGACTTGCTCAAGGTCATTTTTGCAGCAAGTTGTAGAATCAAGATTCAAATTCAGATCTACTTTCTACAAAGCCCAAGTACCTCATTGAGCACAGGATACCTGTTAAATGACCCCTGGACACATCACGTAAGCTCTCTGGGCCTCAGTTTGCCCATTTGTATAATGGAGTTAATAATATCTTCCTTGTAAGAATTGTTTAGGATTAAATGAGATAATGTATGAATAATACTCAGCACAGCCCTAAATAAATATTGGTTTGCTTCCTCTGAGTACCCTTTCCAGGGACTTATATGATCTACAGAGAAGCAGTGTCACTATTGACTGTACGTAGAAGCCTTGGAACTTGAAACTGATAACAATGCCAATGTGATAGGACTCCCTCTCCCATCAACCCAAGAGACCAGAACAATCAATTCTGTTTTTTATAGAATAACTACCAGACTGAGAAAACAAACAAAATGTCTACCTTTCATGTGATTCTCATTGCTCAGAGGGAACACCATGAAGATTATTTCTTTTGATATTTACAAATCAATTCGACCTCTTTACCTTGGCAAGTGGGTTTTGTTTTAGTTTGATTTTGTTTTGGTTTGGGTTGGGCACCCTTTTCCTGACTCTAGAATTAAAAGAGAGGACAAAACAAGCTTACATGGAACTTAAAATGTACTTGAGTTATCTGTAAACTTTTTGTCATTGTAGACCTTTTGTTAAACCAAATCTTACATATGCACCAGTGTATGAAACGGCCAAAGTGAATCTGCTCTGGCTCAGGCAAGGGCAGAAGGCCTGGCTCTTGGCCTTCTCATCTCTTCCCTTATCTCCTTTGGAAGGTGGGGGGCCTGGGTCTTCTCCACTGACATCGAGGCTTTGTGGAAGAAAATTTACAAACCACTGATTCAGAAGAATCCAATTAATCAATCTGACACACATTTGATCTTAATTCCTGACAGAAGAAAGCATTACATTTTATATAAAAAGTCTTAACGTTTGCGTAATAATGACACCATACTTGAAGATGGGGTTTTGAATGTCAAAGTCCTCAAGCATTTTGAACTCCTTCACTGGGGAGATCAGGCCCATGGTAATGGCCTGCTACCAAACTAGCTTGGCCGCCTCACTGCTGGAAGGGCCAACCGTTTGTGGCATCCTCTAAGAGCCCAAATGTTTTCCTGATGCTTGGCACAGGAGCCTGGTGGCTGCCTCCTCCTGTAACGCAGGTTTATTGTCATTCTTAGGGCAGCTGGAGGTAGTAACTCCGACAGGGTTCATTTGTGGTCTCTCTGGGCGGGGTCTGCTTCTCTCTCTCGGAGCAAACCCTGTGGGCTTCTCATGGATGTGAGGCTTGGGAGGGACCCGGCCCTGGCGAGCCAAGACTCAGCTGGTCCCCTGAGCAATGTAAACAATGTTTTTTGTTTTTTTGTTTTTATAATCTTTCCTGGAACTATAAATTAGAGGAAAGACACAAATGGGCTTACATGATTCTTTGTAATCCACAAAGGACTTCTACATACTTTTTGCTAAGTGGCTAGCCAGTAAAAGTGTAGCCGATACCCTTTGTTTTTTCTCTTGGGGCGGGAAAGAAGGAGAAGGTGACTTGGCCTGTTTTGTGATAGCTGTCTCTGTAGTCCACCACAGGTAATGATTGTTCTCTGTTGAAACTATAAATTTCTTAATGGCATGTAATGGGATTCATGTGTTGATTATGAAATAGTAATTTGATGTCTGGGGGTAGGCTCGTAGGAGTTGTTCCAGAAACTTTCAAACTTAGCTAATTCAGAAACAACTGATTTCAAAATTCATGCTTATTGATTGAAGATGGAAAAGGTTAGGCTTTGGGATTCCAGGACTTATTAAGCATTTCCATTTTAAGCACTTCTATCTTAATCTTGTTTCTGAGATCCAATAGGTGCCGGAGCTCCTTGCCTGCTACAGGAGGCAGATACCAACTTTCATCCTGAGATGGCAAAGAATATTTCTACAAATTTCATATTCTCTTCTTGGTGACTATCAACAGCCATGAAACTCACCACAGGTTTATTTCCTCTTTTAAAATAGAAAGTAATCATCATCACAGCAAAAAATAACAGCACACACCAGGCATCTGGTTTATCATCTCTCTGAAATAAGCTCAGAGTTGGACATGGCTCAGTCTATAAAATAGCTATGCTTTTTAGTCTACAAATTGATGGATTTAGGAACAGAGAATTTTAGGACTTTTCTGTAATGTCCCATAAAGAAAGTTTATCTTATGTCTTTATCTGTTTCTTTGAAAGCGTAGTATACAGACTTAGATTTTGCCTTAGACATAACTGCCAGTTATCTCTAGCTACCACAGTCACGGAGACATGTTTTCCTTTGTCTACAAATGGACTCATTATACTTAATTGGGAATATATGAATATAACAAATGTTTACCTCTTGCCTTTTAAAGTTTAATTCATCCTTTGAAGCATCCTCTAAGGCTTGATTTCTGGTTCTACATCAAGATATTTAACAATAATCATTTCTCACGAACTGAGAGACCATAGTTGAGGGTCAAAGTTTTGTCCTATATCTTCAAACACTGTATATTGTTTCTTTTTCCAGAACCACAGTAAAGGTATTTGCTTCCTTTACTAAGAGTCTAAAGCTAGAAGCCTGATACAATGTGATTGATTAGAAAGGCAATAAAATAATTTGCTCCAGTATTTGAGATTTTCTTATTTGAGAAAAAATAGGTATTTTTAATGACTTCTAAATCACAGTTTGTATCATTTTGACTAATTTTTAAATGAGATGCAACAAATTGTTCCATCCTTGCTTTCATAAACTCCTCATTAGGCACTGTGTAATTCTGCTCCAGTGGGCAGAATCAGAATTGGTGGGTGGCTAGAAAACAAATATTGGCTTAATATAAGAAGATATTTTAAACATTTGGAACTTACAAGTGTTAAAGACTTCCTTGAAAAGTAATGAACTTCCCATTTCTGGAAGCAGTTAAGTAAAGACTATATGAACACTTGTCAGAGATCCTGGGAGCAGATTCCAGTATTGCACACAAAGGGTGACTGCTATGGTCATTTCTATTCTAAAGATTCTATGACAAGTGAAGAGATGAAAGAGTAAATTCTGGGCCAAATATTCAGTATGGTTGGAAGGTACTTACATTGCCTTTAAGAAAGAGGTTGAAATATTTTCTAACTAAAGTTAAAAGTTTTTTTACTTATCATTTGAGTTCCCCCAGATCCTCAAAACATTTTTTATTGTCCATACTCAATGCTACAAAAAAAAAATGAGTGACTGGGATAGTCCCTTCTACAATGAGGTACCATCCCGGAGTTGTTTTGGCATTATAAAATGTCTGCGTACTCACTCAACTGTTTGAGTGAAAAGGAATGTGTAACATTCCACAGAGTTTTTCTTGCTGACAAAGTCTTGACCTTGAAAATTTATATATTTATATATTTATTTTGTCAGTAGTTTTGCTTCAGAGGTTTCATAGCATGTGGACCAAAGATTTCCTACCAGACAAGTTGGCCACCACCAAACCTAGACTTTGACTCCTCTATGAGTAGACATAATGTTTAGTCACAATGCACTGCTGTATCTTGAAAGTTGGCCAACAGAATTCCAATGGTTAAACAGCTGGCTTCTATAATAACAGCACTTCCCTTTAAATAATGCATGGTCAGTGGAGTAATTCAATAATCTTCAGGGCAAACTTGCTAGTTACAAGGGTTTTGGGCAGAACTGTGGCATCATCAAAACCACACCAATTAGCTGAGTCTCACATTTTGTCATGGATGCAAGCAACTAGCTCTCCTACATCTCTGAAGGGAAATGTGTAATGCTGAGATTTAACTGGGGTCATCACTTCTGGAACAAAAAGCTCTGGTCATTCATCACTGGTAAAAATGGTACCACCTCTACTGGTGCTGCATAAGCTTATGTTTCTAATGGGTTTCTGGATATGCAGCTGTGATACTATACTTGACGACTCAACTTTAATTTCCTGTGAAACTTTCCTTCTTGCTTACTGAGAATAACATAGTTAAAGGCCCTACTTTAATGTTTTAACTCTATCACTGAAAAGAGGAGACATTGATTTGAAGAATCAGTGTTCAAATAACAAAGAATGCAATACATCTAGTTCTGTAGACATATACATGTTACTTTTTGAGTTCTGAGGAATAAAACTATTCCCTAGAAATTTGCTAACAGTAAGAAGCTTTGAAATGAATATTTTTTTCAAAAGCAGGAAAAAAAGGTAAGACAATTCAAGTTGGATTTTAAGGGCTATTTCTAGAAAAATTTCAATTATATTATTAGCAAATAAGAAACTAATCTGCACTTAACTTTGATTAGCTAAAGATTGATTATACAACCAAATATCTTAATTTCTTATTATTCTGCCACTTATTTGAAGAAGCCAGAAAATTAGTTTTTACACCAATTATTTATTTCAGACGTCTAGACACAT